CAACCCCATATTTTCTGGTCGCCAAGCCCGCGACCCCCAAATATCGAATCGCAAACAAAAAGATTTCAGAATTCCCGAACCGCGAACAAAGTGATTACGGAAAATTCGAACCGCCAGAAAAAACATGATTCCATACATTCTGAAAGTTTAACTTAGTACTGGTTCGCTTACAAGCCAACATTCCGGAAATTCCAGAACGACGCTCTGGAAATTCCGAAAGCAAATGCGAAAAATCTGGAAATTCAGCAATCACAGAAATGAGCTCCCGAAATTCCATCTTTTCCCGAATCGCGCGTCCGGCGATTGGACGTCTGGTATTGCGCAGCCGCTCGGATTGCACGGGCCTCGCTTGGGAGAGTTCGAACCTGAATGTCTGATGTCGGCTGATGCGGTCGTCGCGAAACCCACGCGGTTGACTTCGGCATGTAAGGCACTTGCGGATATCATCAGTAACATCGCCATGTCCAGCGCTGGCACCGCACCCCTTTACACCACACCCCTTTCCCCGTGGCCGTGTCTGGCCGGGCCGCACCGCATCCCCAATAGCTGGACGATTTTTCTCGACACGGCGGCCAGATGAGCGACGATCAAAAACGGGTCTTATGCAAGAGGGCACAGCGACCTTGCTCGGTGGTTCACGCGGGGCGCCAACGCGGCACACCGCGCGGAAAACGAGGGCTCGCACGCGCAACCTTACGCGGGCAGCTTGCGCGCGAATGTCGGCGCACACGGCCCCTTTTTCCCTCCGTCGCTCAGATGCGGAGCGCGGAAGCAGGACATGCTAGCACTGTACGTCGGTGTTGGAGATGCACGTCTCTCACGAACATATAATACTAGGGGGTAAACAAACCTACCTCGCTTTTGACCACCCTCGCTTCCAAGAGATACCAAACGATGCCAAATTGCAGCCTGTACTGGTCAGGCCGCTTGACGAGGAGGCGCGTGGTATGGCTTGGTTTTGCCTGGAAGCGAAAGCGGGGTAGGTAATTCACGCTCTGAAATACACTTTTTTGGTCTGCGGGGCGAGAGCGAACCTTTTCCGGTAAAAGCTAGGCGGGCTACGCACAGCACTAATTGGGGAGACAGGGCGCAGGCGGGCGGGGCCTCAGGCGGCCGGAGGGCGGGCCGGGGTGCAGGCGGTGCCGAGGAGCTTGCACAGGAGAAGGACCGCCGCGGACAGGAGCCGGAGGCGAAGGTCCGACGAACATATAGTACACACATGGGCGATCTCAGAAACCCTGAGCCCAAAAACGTTTTCATCTCTTGGGGGCACATGTTTCACTTCCGCCGCCTTCCGCCGCCCTGCCGCCCGCCCTGCCGCCGGCTCACGCCGGCAGAAGCGGCCTCGTTGCATTTCCGCCGACCTTCCGCCTCCCTTCCGCCGCGGAAGAGATGACAACCCCTTCGATCCTCGAAGGCGAGGCCCTTTTGGGAACGCCCCACATGTCATAGCACGTCGCCTCCCGAAAAGTGTGGCCAGACAGTCGCCCGCCACGGAGCTTCTGCTGTGTCGCCCTTGCGGGGCCTCCTCCTCCTCCTACTCCTCCTCCACTTCCTCCTCCTCCTCCCCCTCCTCCATCTCCTCCTCCTCCACCTCCATCCTCCTCCTCCGGGTGGCGACCAAGATAAATCGAAGCAAATCCAAAGTGAACGTTTTCTTAATCGGCGTTTCGACAATGGGCGGAAGGGAGGGGGGAAGGGGGGGGGTCTGGCTCTGGACCTCTGCTTGATGCGACATGATGCAGCAGTGCGTCCATTATGGGGGGGGGGACCTTACCTGCCCGAAACAGGCGCCGACTAACAGCAAAGATCTATTCCACGGGTGGGGGGGTGCAAGGGCCCGCGCCGATCGGCAAAAGAATGCATAAGGAGAAGAACACAAACATGTCTAAGTGAGCGTCGATGCTTAGCTGGTCTTAGGCGAAAAGACATAGCGACCTTACGCCGCGGCTTACGCGGGCCGCCAACGTGGCACACCGCGTGGGAAAGAGAGCGCGATCCCGCTTTCCTGCGTCGGTCAAGCGAATGTGCATAGATCGCGAAATCTCCAAATACCACAAGTGATATCTGTCGCAAGTCGTGGACGCTCCAGCGCGAGTCCAGGGACAGCAAAAGTCGTGAAGTCCTTGACGCCAGTGCCAGGAACCCTGCCAGACTTCTGCACACGGCGAGCAGAGAGTCGCGAGCGATAAACAGCACATGTACCCTGAGATCTGGGCGATGCTTTTTTTTCATACTGGACGTTTTCACCTGGTTTCGGGCCTCAGGACCCTCACGGAGCGATCCGGCTAGAAAAACGCTGCAGAAAAAATGGGTCTAGGGCTCCGTTCGCGAATGTTCACGATGTTGCAACTTTTGCCGCGAGGCCAGATCCATATGCGAACGTTTTCTTATTCGAGGTTTCGACGTTGAGTGAAAGGGGGGGAGGGGGGGGGTCTGGCTCCGGACCTCTGCGTAGCGCGACTGTTTGCACCAGTGGGCCTTCTGGGGGAGACCCACCTGCTTGAAACAGGCGCCAAAAACACCCGAGATCTACTCCATGGGGAGGGGGGGACGGGGGGGGGTGCGAGGGCCCGCGCCGATCACGTGTTTCTACGCTGTCGGTGTCTGGCGACCGTCCTCGGGCCGTCAGGAACCTATCCGCGACGAAAAACTTGCACGGAGGGGCCCCACGAGGAATCCGGGGACCGAGCATGCAGGCATGGCGGGACTGGCTCGCTCCACAGGTCGTCGCTGTCGCTCGGAAGCAGGGTCGTCGCTGTCACAGGTAGAGACGCGCAGGCACGAGAGAGCGCGTCCCACGGGCGCCTGCTTGGAGGCAGCGCCCACCCACCCCCATCCGGAAACTTGAGGGGGGAAGAGGTAGACTCCCTCCCCCGCACCCCGGGTTCAAATCCAGGGGGGACATCCCCCCCCCTTCCCACCCCCCCGGTGTTAAGGCCAAGTAAGACGGCCGGCGTGCCGACCCCCACCCTTGGCGACAAGGGGTGCGTCGCGCATTCGTCGCCCGTGCGTCGCCCGTGCGTCGGCCGCAAAAAAAGCCGCCGTCCTCGCGATCGCCGGGGGGGCCCCGGGTTCCGAACCCAGGGGGAAACCCTGCAAGCAGGGGGAAACCCTGCAAGCGACCACAGAGAGCCTGCTCCTCCTCCCTCCTCCTCCCTCCTCCCCCTCCCTCCTCCTCCCTCCTCCTTCCTCCTCCTCTCTCCTACGGCACCGCCCTGGCAGGGCACGGAGCTGCGCACGCGGCCAGCGCCGGGAGGCCGGGCAAGGCCCCGACTGTGCCAGGGCGGCTCCACGCCCAGTGCCGCCGCCGGCAGCAGGGCGAGGGCGGGAGGAGGAGAGGGAGGAGGAGGACAGGAGGGGGGGCAGGAGGGAGGAGGGAGGGACAAAGGAGGAGGAAAGGGAGGAGGGAGGGAGGAAGGGAGGAGGGAGGGAAAAGAGAGGAGGGAGGGAGCAGGGAGGGACAAGGGAGGAGGGAGGGACAAGGCAGAGACAAGGGAGGAGGGAAGAGGGAGGCGGATGGAGGAGAGAGGGGGAAGGCAGGACGGGGGATGGGGAGAGGCAAGGGGCAGAGGGGCGGTGAGACGAGGGAGAAGGGCGGAGAGAAGGGCGGAAGGAGGAGGGAGGGGAAGGGAGGGAAAGGTAGGAGGGGGGACGAGGGATGAAGGGATGAAAAAGATGAGGGAGGATGGAGCAAGAGGACAGAGGAAAGGAGCGACAGAGAACGACGTAAAAATATGCAGGAGCTCATCCTAGGGAACATCATCAACTGGACCCTCGCAGTATGTAAATATGTTTGTGTACATACCTCCCTATATCGAAGCAACTACGTATACACAATCATGAAAAGAAGTCGTCATTCATTCATACATACATACATACATACACACATACATACATACATACATACATACATACATACATATATACATACATACATACATACATACATACATACATACATACATACATACATACATACATACATACATACATACATACATACATACATACATACATACATGCATGCATGCATGCATGCATGCATGCATGCATGCATACATACATGCATGCATCAGAGAGAACGCGTTTCACGGGTGCTTACCTTGGGAACATTCGGCGGCGCGTTTCAAACCGGGGGGGTGGGCCCCCCCCCCAACACTCGGCGCCGTCGATCAAAACCAGGGGGAACTCCCCTCCCCCCCAAACCCGCCCCTCCCGAACCCCCCCCCTCCACCCCCCTCCCAAGAAGGGGAGAGTTCAACCCCCCCACCCCCCCTCAGCGCCGGCGCGAGCGCCGGCGCTGCGGGCCTCATGCAACGCGTAGATCTTCAACACCATACTATGCCATGTAATGCTATGCCATTCTGCGACATCCGATTGTGCGAATAGAGAGGAGATCTACGCCATAGCATGGGATTGGAGGGAGGGGTAGGACTTCAGATATGACGCGATCGCACCTAGCTTGGCCCCCCCTCTCCCGTCGCCCTCTCCGCCCCCCCTCCTCCTCCTCCTGCTCCTCCTCCTCTCTCCTCCCCTCCTCCTCCTCCTCCTTCCTCCTCCTTATCCATTTCCTCCTCCTCCTCCTCCTCCTCCTCCTCCTCCTCCTCCTCCTCCGCCTGCGCCTGCGCCTCCGCCTCGAGGAGGGAAGAGGCATACGATGTCGTGTGCTCCCCGACGCATGCCAGACGTGCCAGCTGCCGAGAGCAGCCTGGGCGGCCGGCGCACCTTCGCCCCCTCCAGGGGCAGGGAAATCAAAGGGCCTCGAAGATGGCACGGCCCGCTCGTGCGCAGGCGATGGCCACGCGCGAGGCGGCGGTGCCGCTCCTCCACGACCCACTTCGCCGCGGCAAAAAGCCGACACCAATGCAGAATGCATCGCCAGTGCGCCCAGCCTGTGCGCCGGGCGGGCGCCCGCTGTGCCCGCCGCGCCCAGCCTGTGCGCCGCTCACGCCGAGCAGAGCTCGCTGTGTACGAGAGCGCCGCCGCCCTGGCCGTCATCATCCTGTAGCAGGCGCCGGGAATGGTGCGGTGGCCTTCTCCTCCTCCTCCTCCTCCTCCTCCTCCTCCTCCTCCTCATCATCATCATCATCATCATCATCATCATCATCATCATCATCATCATCATCATCATCATCATCATCATCATCATCATCATCATCATCATCCTTAGCCTGCTCCTGCGCCTGTCCTCTTCCTCTGCCGCGTCCCCCTCTTTCCTCCTCTTCCTCCAATCCCCTTCCCCCTTTCTCGCACTCCTCTTCATCCTCCTCCTCCCCCTCCATCTCCTATACGTGTCTCATATGTACTTGTGTACATATGTATGTGTGTATGTTGTCCAGCGCGGGCCCCAAACCGTGTTTTTCCTAGCGATCGATAGTAAGCGACGTACGATGTGCAGCATACGTGGTGTCATTTATACTGTGCAACATGGATTGAAACCTAGATGGTGATATATATATATATATATATATATATATATGCCATCTATGTCGTGCAAACTACGGAATGCAATCTATGTTGCGAACGTTCGAAAGCAGGCCGCAAGCGCAAAAACAAATGACGCACGATCTGTGGTGGAGCACATTATGTGAAGCAGTCGACATTTTGCAATCGATGCGGTGCAGTCGATGTGGTGCAACGGTTTTTACAAACGAGTTGACACATCCCATGCTCTTGCAAGGATCCCACCCACCCACCCGCAACTGGGTTTGCAAAAGCCCATGCGGCGGCGACTGCGATGAGTGTTTGGCGTTGGCTGGTGCGTCCCTGCGGCCGTGCCAACCCAAGCACGCGCTCGCAGCGACCAGCTAGTTTGGCGCGACCGACCCGGCCCCGATGGCGCTGACCGCTGGGCACATCCCAACGGGCACTTCAGTGCGAGCCGGCGATTTGGGCGAGCGCGGTATCATGGCAACGTCGACAACGGCAGACACGATGATGATAGTAGCGATGCTGGTGGCGATGTTGACAACGACGACGGCACGGCCAGTGACGGCGCCGATGCTGATCACGCAGACGACGATGGCGGCGTCCTCGCGTCGGTGATGTAGGTTTTGGAAGGAGGCCAACATGCCCGCGCGGCCGACGTGCGAGTGGCCCGCATGGTATTATTTGACACGGATCGTGCCTTGCAAAATCACTTAAGACCGTGACGGTGGGTACCAAATGGCACTTGGCAACGACAGCGACGCCAACGACGACAGCGACAACGACGACGACTACACCGCCGACAACGACTACGACGACACCGACGACGCCTCCAACGACTTCGACGCCGCCGACAACGACGCCGACGACGAAGACGACGACGACACCGACGACGACGCCGACGCCGACGCCGACGACGACGACGATGACAACGACGACGACGATGACGACGCCGACGACGACGACGACGACGACAGCGACACCGACGACGACGACGACGACGACGCCAACGACGCCAACGACGACGACGACGACGACGACGACGACGACGACGGCGGCGACGACGACACCGACGCCGACGACGACGACGACGAAGACGACGACGACGCCGACGCCGACGACGACGACGAAGACGACGACGACGTCGCCAACGAAGACGATGACGAGGGAGGAGGGAGGACGACGACGGCGACAACGACGACAACGACGACAACGCCGAGGAAGGAGGGAGGACGGCGACGACGCGAACGACAAAGAGGGAGGAAGGACGGCGACGCCGACGACGACAACGACGGGGGAGAAGGGAAGACGACGACGACGACGACGACGACGACGACGACGACGGCGACGAAATAGAGGGACGACGACGAGACGCCGACGACGGACGACGACGACGACGAGGGAGGAGGAGGAAGGACGACCACGGCGACAACGACGACGGAAACGACCACGACGCCAAAGAGGACGACGACGACGAACACGAGGAAAGACAGCGGACGACGTAGGCGACGACGACGACGACGCGGGAGGAGGGAGGACGGCGACGACGACGACGACGACGACGACGCAAGAGCACGCGCGCACGCTTTTGTTGAAAATCCGTGTTGCGAAACCTTGTGTGTTTGTAGGTTTTTTGGGGCACACAATTTTGAAATCCTTCCGAAACCGATTAGTTTTGAAGGATTTCGGCATACGCGCGCGACGACGCGCGCGTCTGCACTTCGTCCCATTTTTTGCAGGGAGGATTATAGCGACGGCACACGCGCAAGGGCGTTCGACAGATTTCGACCTGCGCGCGCGCGAAGCACGTTTGGTAGCATTTTGTGAAAATCTTGAAAAACCTGTGGTTTTCTTAAAATTTCGCAAGAGCTCGCGCGTAAGCTTTTGTAGCAAATCAGTGTTGCGAAACCCTGTGTTATTGTATGTGTTTTTGGAAACTCGATTGCGAAATCCTTCCGACGCCGAAGGTTTTTGAAGGATTTCGGCATGCGCGCGCGACGACGCGCGCGTGTGCACTTCGTCCCATTTGTTGCAAGGGATGCGTGAAAAAGCCTTATGTTAGAACAAAAGATGTCCCCGCGTATCGTTTTTAACCAGAAAACCTCAGGGGGTCGATACCGGCCCCCCTGGGATAGTGCAATGTCATATTTAGGATGGACATGTGGTCAGAATCATATATGATTTACATACCCGAAAGGGGGGGAATAACACTGGGGGGAAGGGTATAGTTTTTTTCTTTGAAAGGAGAATCCAACGTCGGCGACGGGCGGCGACGAGACGGCGACGAGGCGGCGACGGGGCGGCGACGGCGGCCACACGGCCGCCAGACCGAAGACGCGGCCCAGACAACGGGCGACGACAAGACGGCGACGGGGTTGCGGCGGCGGCCACATCGTCCCCAGACCGACGACATGTCCCAGTCCCTCGGAACAAAAGCAACAGCCCCTTAGTGCAAACACTGTTTGGGGGGAAATCGATGCGTGTATGTCATGTATGCGTATGTATGTATGCATAAATATGTACATACATACATGCATGCATACGTACGTACGTACATTCATACATACATGTGTGCATACTCTCGCACTCCCACACCTAGTGGTCAATTAGCCGGCCTGACTGGGGCGGTAGTCCTCCTACCCATCAGAGCATGCATCATACATAGTTCTACTAACATTCAGATGTTGTCGTCGACGTTCCAAAATGCGTGGCAGGAGTGGGACGAGACGCACATAGTGCTCGAGAGGGCGACATGTTGCTGTAGACTGTCGTCTCATCGCCGCGGCATGTCCGTGCCTGGACATTGAGCTCCCGCTTGGGAGTGGCGCATCATGTTTGCTGTGCAAGAGAATGAGCCAGGCGATGCCCCAATTAGGGGCATTCGCTCCTACAAGTCCACTCATAGCTGCTCTAAGCAACGCAACACAATGCAATGCATAGCAGTGCTTGGCAGTGGATTTGCTTGACATTGCGCATTGCTCGAAATCACTGCGCGTTGCTTGACATTGGCTTCGCATTGCTGTGCATTGCTTGACAGCGTGGCATTGCTTTGCATTGCCAAGCAATGCTTGGCATTGCTTGGAGCATTGCCTGGAGCATTGCTTGGCATTGCTTTGCATTGCTTGGCGTTGCTTGGAGGAGGCCATGTGCTGGCATTGCTTGGCAATGCTGTGCATTGCTTACCATTGCTTGGGGTTGCGTAGTATTGCTTGGCATTGGCTCTGCTTGGCGTTGTTTGGCATTGCTTTGCATTGCTTGACGTTGCTTGGCATTGCTTGTAGCATTGCTTGGCATTGCTTGGCGTTGCTTGGCATTGGCATTGCTTGGTGATGATTGGCACTCCTTGGAGTATTGCTTTGCGTTTGCTTGGCACTGCTTGGAGCGTTGCTTGGGGTTGCTTGGCATTGGCTCTGCATTTCTCGGCACTGCTTGGCATTGCTTGGCATTGCTTGGCATTGCTTGGAGCATTGCTTGGCGTTGCTCGGCATTGCTTTGGACTGCTTGGCGTTGCTTTGCACTGCTTGGTACTGCTTGGCATTGCTTGGCTTTGCTTGGCATTGCGTCACATTGCTTAGCGTTGCTTGGAACATAGCTTGGCATTGCTTGGCGCTGCTTGGCACTGCTTTGAATTGCTTGGCACTGCTTGGAGCATTGGTTGGCGTTGCTTGGCATAGCTTTGCATTGCTTGGCGTTGCGCGGCGCCTATTGGCGTTGCTTGAGATTGCTTAGCATTGCTTGGCATCTTGTGGGCAACCACCAAAGGCAACTCAGCTGCTAACCCCAGGTAACGCCGGCCAGCGCCAGACAGCCCCGAAGAATGCTGGGGGGATGGTCGCCGCACCCACGGGACTTCTCTCACAAACAAGTACGACCCCCTTAAACAAAGCCTCACTGAGAAATGATCGGAATTGGGCCCGCGCCCGAAAGCCCCCACGAGGCCCTGGGGGCCCCCAAGACGCCGCCAAGGAGCCCCAAGAGACTCCCAAGAGGTCCCCAAGGGGCCTCCACGAGGCCCTAAAGAGGGCTCCAGGGCCGGCGGAATGAGCGAAGCGATTAAATAATCTGAATTGGGTCCGCGCCCGAAAGCCCCGAGCGTCGCTCTCGCCCAAGCGCCTCGCCGGTGTTTCTTTCTGAGAGCCGCGTTCCCGTTTGGGGGCAAAGGCGCGTGTGCCTGCCGATCGCCAATCCTCTATGGAAAGCTGGGCCGCGCGCCACCGAGCTGCACGTTGCTGTCGCTTCCGATCCCAAGCTTTCGATCGGGAACTCTGGGATACAGTCGGGGCGTTGACCTAAGGAACCCTAAATAAGGAACGAGGCCCCTCCTTTCCCGTAAGTTGAACTTCGATTTCGTATCGAAAACCCAAGGAAAGCCTGAGGCGAGCTGCGAAACGCTGAAGGAACACGGAGCCCCTCCCCCACGAAAAGGGCTCCTTCTTCAAGACCCCTACTGCACGATCGGGAACTCTGGGATGGCACGTCGCTCCGACGGTCGTGCCCTCCACGCTTCGGCGCGGGAGGAGGAGGAGGAGGAGGAGGAGGAGGAGGAGGAGGAGGAGGAGGAGGAGGAGGAGGAGGAGGAGGAGGAGGAGGAGGGAGGAGGAGGAGG